CCCCCCCCCCCCCCCCCCCCCCCCCCCCCCCTTCGCCAGTTTCGCCAGTACATCCGACACCCCACAAAACGGTTGACAGCACTGGCGGACCACTGCAGAACCATCTCCCGGATGGCAGCTTTTCCGAGGGGACGTCATCGGGAGAGACTAACGTCGGACTGGGAACAAGTTCTAAGAGCTTGAGGTTATTGGCACCACTCGTGGTCCGGCAATAATGCACGTTCCTGGACACCGCGTCGTGCCATGGGTCCGAAGGCGAGGAGGCCGATCCCATAAGGGCGCAGGAGCTTGCTCGCGCGTTATTTTTTCCTATTGCCAATCAGAAGGCGAATTCATCTTGTAATTATTTAGTGCTCTGTAAAAGCGAGTACTATTTACAGTTATTTGGCGCCATCCCCGTAGAGGGAGTAGTCCGTAGGCTTACCTGTCTACTTATTTCGTAGAGTCGGTACTCACGTACGTTAGTGCAGGAGTAGTTACTATCCGCTGATGCAGTTTCGATGCGGGGGCGCCGAGAAAAAGCACCAGGCTAATATTTTAATATCGAAGCATTCAAAGATTGAGCGCAGAACTTTGATCTTGGCGCATTCCCATCAAAGGTTGACAGCACGCATCGGTCACAGCATATACAACGAGCATGGTCAGCGTGGTACATCTGGTATGCCTATGGACGAAGCACGTACCTGTACCGACAGCCTGCCTGACTGATGAGAGTGGTGCCGATCTACTCGTGCAGTGGAGGACTGTTCGTTGGCAAAGCAGACCAGTTGAGCTCACACTTATCTCCCACACCCTGGACTAGCTTTCCTGAAACTCGTATTGGAATTACCATCTAGGAGGTTATCAGATGTGATTTCGAAGTCTTGCCCTTGATCAGTCGTTGTTGCTCATTTCACACTAGAGGCAACCCTTGACTCATAAACTACAACCTGGGTTTCAAGACGCCTTTTTTTTGCTTCGTTCCTTTTCGAAAGGGTTCTATCTTCCGAGGGAGGGTTCTGCTCACAAGAATTCCTTCCAAGGCACTTTTCATGTGCGATACGTATCACCTATACCCTTATTAAAGCATTTGACTCGTCTTTTGAAACCACAGACTCGCCAGAACGGATAAGAAATGGGTGAGGCTAAAAAGCCATTCTCAGCTGAGCATGGGTAAGGAGACGCCATCGAGGTCATCGCGTCGAAAAGTGATTACTGTGCTTGACTGGTAGTGTGAAGATCCTACAACATTCATGGTGTAACCTAATGATCTAATATAACTCAAAGAGATAACCTGTTTTTCTCTCGTGGCGCTTCATGACCCATACATGCACGACCTCCACATCCATGATGTACCACATCTGATTGACAAATGAACATTTCAGTTCGAACGTGAATTCCTATCATTTGGTAAGCGTGGTTCGGAATTCGATCGGGAGATGTTATCATTCGGGAAAAGGGACGAATTTGAGCGCTCGATGATGGCATTTGGACGACGAAGGAAATGAGCTGTTGTGGAGGAATCAATTCTCAAAGGATGTAGACGATTGCCGTCGTTGCTTCCGCTTCACTCGTTGTTCATGCCATATTCTCTTTAATTTAGTCGCCATGTTCATATAAACACGTCACAAACACACACATACGATTCATTCATTTATGAACAGTTCTGTCGCTGCACAACGATAAATCCGTTAATAAACGGCTTGTCGGCGTTTTAATTATTATTTCTGAGTGATTTTAATAATTTTCCGTTTGATCTTCACATCTTGTTTCTTCACTCGTTCCCAACATCTTCAAAAAAAAAGGTTCAAATGGTATGAACGGTAGAACAATATTTTCTTGCTTTTAAGAAATAGACTATCAACGGAAACCATAGAATTTATAAAGTATTTTAGAAAAAAAAACTCTGAAATGATGTACGAGTACAAGATACGCCATGCATTTAACTTTTAATGGGAACAAAGACAAAAGAAAATGCTTTCCAAAGTATTATATAGCAACAATTTTGAGTGTTCCCCACTCCCACTTCACTTCCCTGCCATCCCCCAATCCAGTAAAAACTCGAATTCTGGTAATTTGATCTGGTGATGAAGGGAAGTTTGGGTGACCTGGCGATCCGGTGATGTAGGGGAATTTGGGTGACCTGAGTGGTACTAAAATCTCACAGAAAGCATAGGTGGGATTTTCTGCTTTGAAAGGTACAAAGGCTAGGATACCGTTCTTTCATTCTTTTAGGAAGCTATCCAATTTCTACCTCAACAGCCAAACAGGTTGAGGACACCAGCTTTACTGGACCTTTTTTCACTGGATAGTCGACTTCAAATCATTACTGGGAGTGTAAATGAGCGTAAGATCAATCTCCTCAAGCTAATTCATAGTTTAATGCAGCTTTATCACTCAGGAAACCCCTCCCACAGGAGCATAAGTGGGAGCGTAATTTCTGCTAGATCTCATTATCAAACTTCAAAGACAAGCGAATCGCGATAAGTATAAATGACCTGAAGGCGCTGCTATTTTCATTCATCCATTGTTTTCCAACTAGACAATAAAGAACCATTAATTCATCATGTGCAGATGAATCACCTTTCTTCCTGAATGGGACCTGAACTGAGTTCCATCAGAGAACGACGAAGATTAAGCAGTCAAATTGGTAAAGGATATAGTAATATCTTAATGAAAAATGAAGTTATGCATGGAACAAGAGATGTCCTTTATGGGCTACAGCTTTCGAATTGATTAACATCATGCGAATTCCATCCAAGAATGAAAATGTATAGCGAGGGATGGCGTTCGACTTCGAAAGGCACTGACCAATCCGATTTAACAACCACCGCCTTAGCGGTACTAAATTTATGCTGCTTAGACCTTACAAAGCTTCTCCTCTTCAGACTTACTAACTCTCAACAAACTGGACGAACATCAAAAAAAAAAAAATGATACGATGGAGAAACTACTGTGACTGTGATATAACCGTTTGTTGTGTATGGGTCAGAAGGCGCATCAAAACTGGGTGGGTGTGGTACAGTAGTAACGAAATTGTCGTGTCGCGGCGAGAGAGACGCCGCGCGCGAAGGAATGTAGCAGAATGCAGCAGCAAGTAAGAAATTTAGGAACAAACGAACTGACAGTAGAATCATACCAAAAGTAATGATCGCATAGCGATTGAGCTGTATGAAGAACGCTGGAACTGTTATAACGAGGCACATGGTCCGCGACAGCCGCGTGCGGCGGATCGATTACACGAAACCATTCCTACTGCCCTTCTTCCAAACTAGGTCATTGTGGCCCAAGATGTGTGCTATAATGTGGAGAACTGAAAATGCTACCGTTGCTTTCGTTAAAGTAAAACATATCAACTATCGGGACAAGTCTCGAATACAAATCTAATTATCCTGATTTCCATTAATAACAAATCATAACAGTAGGTAACGCAGCTACAGTATTTACTACCACTGTCCTACCGGTGTAACTGATAATTCTGAATTTTTCAAGAATTACTAGAATCTCTCGAAGTGTTGCAAATGCACCAAGGCAATACTGAATTTGAAGAAACTCTCTAATCAACCAAGCCTACTACCACGAGCTTTTACATTATCTGGCAACCTCTGAACTCTCTAAGGATCGTAAATACATCCAGCTGTCTTCGCTATTCATGAAGGACGTCGATTCCAGCAGAATACTCAAAGCAGTCCAATTAATTTTGCACCAATTCGCCTGCCCATGGCAATTGTCTCGATGATAGAGATAGGTGGAAATACGACAACAGCGAGTTACTTTAGTTGCTCAATAGGTAAGGGGATTGCCACTTGAGCAGAGGTATGGTCCAAGAACGGAGGACGTCCCACATGGCTCGACAATAACTTGAGTGCAATGTACGACTTCGACCAGTTCAGTGTTACAAAACTCGTTATCTGGACATTCTAGTATGCTGTATTAAAAATAGAATTTAATTTTTTTATTTCATTATTTTTTTTCAAAGTAGCTCAACCCACCTGTACCTCATTACCCGGACAAAGTATGTCAGCACAGTCATCAATCTCTATTCTCTCGTTCGATGTGCATTTCACCTGAGGAAATAAGAAAACCTTACTTTCATGTTTTCAGGGATGTTCCTTTTCATTTTTCCCAAGCATTTTCTGTTCGTGCTTGGCGTATAACATACGACCACGCCAACATGGGAGGAAATACTCATCTAGACCAGAAAGAAATACAAAGCTTTTACGAGGGCTACTGTTCCATTCCTTGTATAAAGCCGCTCCACTGGTGTGTGGCGTGTGATTTTGCTACCACCTCAAGCCAAAATTTCCTCTGGGCCCCGTCGCTGAGACAGCGTTCAATTCTTTCATGACGATTCAATTTTTTTATTTCAAACTCAGGCATGCTTTTCCTTTTTGAGTGCTATTATCCACCTTGTATTCTCTTGTAAACCAGATGGAGAACAGTTTCGGTCTTTCGAATAACGCGGAAGAGATCCCGGAACCTTCTCACGCTAGGTCCATATGAACGATGTAAACTCATTATTTATTCCATTTCTATGATGGACCCTTCCAACTCTCGGTTTTCACAAAAAAAANAAAAAAAAGAGGAAATATTCGTAAGATAATTAATTCAACTCCCAACTGGAAAACCTGATGACGTTACCGAGACTTATTCTGGAAACATAAGGGTCTCTGGAGAATTTTCAAGAAAACCCTTTTCTTCCGGTAATGTTGTAGTATAAAAAGGTAAAGTATTCAGCGTTAATTTGTTCCTTTTTGGGATGCGTCCTCGCGTTTGAGATTCATTCAGAATAGTAGTGGCGTATGCGGCCTATATAATAACATCCATTGGCGAGGCGATGTACAAGTTAGAGCTTTTCTCCTCCCAGACGAGTGTGGTATCAACTAACCGACCCCGGGGGGATGGAAGGCTTTGTTTGCCTGCGTAGGTATCGACCAGGGATTCGAAATGCGGACCACGACTTTTCGCAAATCATGCAATTCATCTACAAACAGGGCGATACAGCCATCATTTGGAACAGGAGAAGGGTAATTCATATAACTTCGTATAACTGCAGCGGCACAGTGGATTAGCTGAATTAGAATTTTTGAGAAGCACATCTGTAGTGACCATAACTCACCTTAAACAGTATTCCACACTGTGACGTGTTTTGTAAGGTCAAAGATGTTTCCCAATTATTTCCGCTTACCTAAATACAGCTTCCATTCATTTTTATTGTTACCTATCTGCACTATCAAAGGTTTACAAGGAAAAAGTGATCTACTACCCCTTTCCAAACTAACCAAGGATTATTTCAATCCTTAGCTTACCGTTGTTCAGTGACCTTGAGTAAATACGATTTCGAAGCTGTACCTAATTGAAAGATGAAAAGCATCACCTCCACTTCATCAGGTTTGATTGAGAAATCGCTGAATGACTTCGGAAACTGGGGGAATTCTAGATTTATGTCCACCATTTTACTGCAACAACGTCTAGAAAATGAAAGCGTAGGTCATTGGCGAGGTGAGTTACTGATAATGATTAGGAAAAACACTGTATTTACAATTCACAACAAATCATTAGAGGAAAATTGTAATGAGTCAGTACTAAACAAGGAGAATATAACGATCGTTCTTTCTCTGTTACTTTCTATGAATGCTGAACGCAACTTATAACGAACAATATATACAAAGTGAGACCAATACAATCAGCAACTTTCGCTGCAATTAACGAACAGCAAAAGAACTAAATTGCAAGATCAATAGTCCTAGAACAACCGATACCTTCGCTAGTAAACAGATATATTCTATTCAAAATCAACACTTACAGTACCCTTCCGAAAACGTTTCACGAAAGCCGCATTGGGATTGGCTGCGAAGACAAAAAACATCAGATTACTGGTGGTGGCTGAATGAATATTGGCGGAGGAAGGTTTGGACCAGGAGCCACTGCCAATTTATTCTCCCTGAGCGCATTTTCTAACATCCAACAAGGTCCAACAGGCTGAAAGAGAACACTTATATAAGGGTCAACGGAAGCAAAAAGGTTCCTACCATGGGTGGCCTGATACAAGGTGGATTGTGTGCGGGTGCCGCTCGAGCTCCCCATCTGAGAAACAGTGGATCCTAAAATAGCTGATTATAGTTCCTGATATTTTCCCAAAATGAAATTTTTCGAGGAGCGAGCACACAAGTTTATGATACTTATTTATTTACGACCCAGAAGATTCGAACTGACAGATTCCTTTCTCTGTTCTAATCCGCAATTCTCTTGATTCCGCTCTTTCGCACGAAAAAAATTGTCTGTACTTCAGTATCTTCACTGCTTTTAGGTTTCCTCCCCGTCACGAACCCTCCAATCCCACAATCCGTCTTTCCCTTGTCATGTTTTTCAGATTATACCTCTGCTTCCCGCGTTTACGTCTTCTTTTTTCACACTCTTTTTCCTATAAGCCGGCTCATTTACTTTACACCTATCCACCTCTGCAACATTCCAGCATGCATATTATTCCTTATGAATCTCCCAATTTCATCGCTCTCCTAGTCCTTTCCTATACTTAACCATACCCTACATATCTGTCACAGCTGATCGTATTAATAAAAAAAACCAACTACCTCTTCTCCCTATTCATGTCTATTCTTCTCAAAGAATACCAAGAGTCGACAGAAACGCTAAGCTCATATCTTTAAATGGAAGCAAGCAATGTTTAGTATTACCTTCATGTCGTATGTCACTTTTGTGTTCCCCCAAAGTTGTGGCGGCGGCCCAGCGGGACCAGGCGCTCCTGGCATGGATGGAGGAGGTTGCTGTGTAACAGCTAAACCATCATAAATCAATTGAATTTGTCGTTCACGCCATCTATACAAGAACATCACACAAATTATGAATTAAACATTTACTGACTTGTCCCTAACGCGGCCGCTGCTCCTCCCATTACAACATTAACCATTTCTTTGAAAACGTTTTCTGCATTCAAATCACCTGTAATTAGTAAAATATAATATGAAACGTGATGACGGTAAAAAAAAGTTACTTGACGAAGACTAATCTGTCGCATATAGGAAAAAGTTTTAATGGGAAATAAGCAACCATCAATTACCTTGCGGAACCTGAGCAGTCAGCTGGGTAACATGTTGGGGCGGATTTGCAAATGGCGGCTGCTGCTGAACAACAACTTGAGCAGCCAATTGTGCAGCTTGTTGCTGTGCCTGTATGAAGAGTATGAAACGATAGGAATCGCACAGATTAATGGACAGAAGAAGGAGTTATATATAGCTCTTTTCAATAGCTCAAATCTAGGAGAAAGTGATGGACTACAAGAATAAAACCAATTCTTGGGCAGGATTACCTGCAATCGCTGGTGTTCCTGTTCTAATGCAGCCTGATGGTGAGCTATATACGCCTGCTGAGACTGTGCATATGCTGCTGCTGCTTCTGCTGAAACATCAAGGAAATGTTTTAGCATAACTAGTATTATGGCGATGATTTCAAGATTGTATTTCTATTGAAACTATCCTTGAAAAGGTTCTTTAAATAGATGGACAAAAGAAGGGAAATGAGAATCCGCGGTTAATCTTGACAAAACAGGCACATCAACATCCAAGCACTTCAATCATTCACTCACAACTAGACCGACGAGTCGAAACACTTCTTAAAGTCCAACGTATCCCAGTCGAATCGAGTTTTCGAGAACTGTTTTAAAAACAGTTTGAAAGCAGAAATTCAATTATATTCTTCATCTACTTGTATATTTCAGTTTTCCTTCTTCCAGGAATCCCTCCACTCTTCTCCCTCTTTCTGCCGTCCTTAACAAATCTCATCTTCCCTTCACTCCTGTCAACCCTAGCGCTGTCACAGCGATTTCCACTGTATGTATTCGGCTTGAACTATTCACAATCCAAAAGAACATGGTTCCATTGTGTTAAATTGCGTTATCAAACTATTTCATCACTCGCTGTTTTTCTCTTTTCTTTTCCTTGCACGATTGATTCACAAGTGACGCGCTCTCTTTCTTGTTTTTTCAGGACGACATCACCGCTCATCGAGATGCTAAAACCTAGTTTTCGATCTCTTGCAATGATTTGTCTGACATATTTTGCGAGGAAAGAGTGGTAATTCAAACATTGGACAGTGGGCAAGGAATAACACCATGAACGAAGAAAAAACATGGATCACCTTCTTTGGCTTCTTGTATTCGTTTGGCCTTTTCTTCTTCTTCCTTTTGAGCTCGTAATTCATTCGCCTCTCGTTCTGCCTTGAATATTACCATGTAAGAAGGATCAAGACTTTTGGAATCAAACAGCAGCCACTGACAGTTTCACTAGGTAAATCCGATTTCTCCACAAAAAAATGTTGCACATATAGAAATGACTTTGGCGCTTTCATGTATTTCTTACTATGTTTGAGTTCATTTTCAATAGACAAAACCACTAGAGTAAACGTACAACTTGTTGTCATAAACTGATAGTGTGTAAGAACGCAGGGACAGTTCCCCTGTTGCGATCTTGTCAATTGAAGAAGTGCACTCAGGAAATAACGCAACAACGAGCGGCTAAGATACTTTGCAGCAAAAAATCTACAACTGACACGTAAGTGAAGAAGGTGAAAAGAAAGTGAGAGAAAACTGTCGTGCTGTACAATGCACAACGAGTCGGGGAAGCCCCTGAGTCGAGTCACTTGAGAAATATTGGGGGGTATCGAGTCTGAGAGAAAACTTGCGTGCAGCTGCCAGTCGTACCCAGTACACCAGCTTTTGTGTGAAAAGATAGTAAATTGAAAATGGGAGCTTAGGTGAAGTACCTTTTCTCTCAGCGACTTCCTGCGTTTTTCCACATCTTTTTCCCATTCTTGGAACTGCTTCACATAGGCATCGTAAGCATCGGTACCGATAGAACTTCTGAAAAACAGAACAAAAACATATAGCTTTTCCAGATTACGATTTACCTCCAATTCGAAAAAATACTGAACGTTTTTCAACAGCAAGCACTTGATACTGCAACCCTTTAGCATTCCCTTGTAATCCCCCTTTGGGTAAAAATTATTACACCGAGCAAATCAACAAGACCCAAAATTTAAAGGCCTCGCTCCGCTCACTTGAAAGACTTTCATCAAAGCTACAGCTATTTCAGCAGGATCACTGCTTTTGGGTTGTCCAAATGGAGATAGTGTAACGGTAAGGGATATTTTGAAAAGTGAAACTGCTATTATGAACAAATATGGTTTTATAAGCAGAAAAGGTTCGAGAACATAATGGCATGTTGGCATTACTTTTTCGCCCATCTTGGAGCTTCATTACCAATATATAGTTTATTTGGTTTCAAAGATCAATAAGTCGTTCTTACATGAAGGGGGTACCTTGAATCCGAAGTTGAAGGGGTGGGAGCTGTATCGCAACAGATCTTTTTATGGGTGCAAACTCAGTGCAGCTTCGTTTGGGTTTTTTTTTTGAGGAAGTGGTGATAATCCATACAGGTAAACATTCAACAATACCTCTCATTACATTGTCAGATGCCTTGAAATCTAACCAGTAACATATACAAATCAAAACGTACTTGTTCTTCTCTTTCCATTGATCAAATTGAGCTTTGTAATCGCGATACTGCTTTTCCAATTCTTCCTCGGCGGACGACTATAAAAGATTTCTTCAATACACAATCACAACTACAACTATACGCAGTCAAACCAGCAATTCACGAGCATAAACATAATGAAAGAAAAACGAAGAAAAACCAGCATTATACCGTTAATATAATGGAGACACATTGTTGATCTGCTTGAAATGAATCTTTTCTATCATACCTTCTTTGTAGATGGTGTCGACATCTTCAATATGAAAGAACTGAATATGAAAATTCACACTGAGCCTTTTACACGCCGAAAGGAGAACTTGAACGCCAAAATTTGACAAAGTCTATGCGTCAACGTTTGCGTCGCGGCCTTTGCGCTGGGGCACTTTATTTTAAGGTGTGTTGACAAGGCGACGTTGCTGTCTAGACAGCTCGAAGTTCCTCATTTCGTAACTATGTACTTTCCCCACATGCTGGCATGCTCAACTATCCTGAGATGACGCTCTGAGCAGCAACTCGCTGCGGTGGCTGCCGACTCCATATTGGTTGTGTGCCTCTGTTTATTTATACTCTTTCTTGTAAACCTGACTAACTGACTAATTACCCTCCACAGATGGACTATTGAACCCTAGCTTCGTATTGCTATAGATTTCTGTTATTTGTTCATTTTTCTTTTCCCTCTATCGATTTGGCTTTCTCTGATATCTGAACAGGTGTTTGACAAAAAATGATTTAGGAAATATCTACCAAGTGAAGATTGAGAGCACCAAGGCATACCATATATGGCGCTATTAGATCGAAAAACGGCCCAGACAGGGCGTAATAATGTTTCGAGAGGGTATCCATTGTATGCCCATCCCAAAGGCAGACGAGTTTTAGTAGGGAGGAGAAGCTACGCCAATCACAAGGAATACCCATGTTGGAAAATCAAATAACTAGTCGTGAGCTAAGGACGACAATGAAGTGCAATTCTAGGCAGTTTTGACTTAGTGCAGCCACTTCTTCATGTAGGCGCAGGGACTGAGATCTCGTCCAATTAGCCCTTCCATGCCATTTCCGCCATAGTAATCTCGTACAAGTTCCTATTTTTACTACTCCTAAGTGCCCTTCGATTTCATGGATTTGGCCAACTTTCTCGTTTTTTTCGCCATCGATGCATACTTCTCTACGAACCCTCCCGCGCTTCAAATTAAAAGGGGTGCCTCAAAATTATCGAAAACTATCGCCTTTAAACGGGTAATCTAATCCAGTAACTGCTTATGGAGATTATGTGAGGAAAGTACTTAGTTACGAAATGGGAATCCTATTTATCAAGAGCGCCGGCTCGCGATGTTCACTTACTACGGGTAAAATAACGCGCTCCAGTGCAGAAGCTGTGACGCAGCCGTTTACGCGTAAACCTTGTCTTTTTGCATTTAAGTTCTTCTCTGCTAAGAAATTCTTTCCAAGTGACGACACGACAGTTGACACATTAACGACCTTTAACCGCGCCGCCATCGCCACGCCCATCAGATCGTGCGGTCCTCAACAGCTCGTTGTTTGCAGTGCCGTACTATCAGTTTGTGTTCTCGTGTTTCGAAGATATCGACGTAATTTGAGTACTCGTTTCTCATTCACCCCGGGAGAACTGTTTGCCATTCCATTTCGTGGCTAGAATTTACATTTGTTCATAATCCTTTACTCCAGCGTATCAATTCAGGATGTACAAAGCCAGCCATTCAGCCGTCTCACGAACTGCGCTCCCGTCTATTCAACATAAGCAAAGATCTACATATAGTTATCAACAACGCCCACCCGTTTTCCAGAAAGCCTTGGAAAAACGTCAAAGTATGCCTTTAGGATCGTTTTCAAGCATGTAAACTCGCTTTGTATACAATTTTTCAAGTGTTTTCACATTGAACCCCTCATTATACCACAATGGTAATGATTTTCTTCGAGTGCCTATGTTAGTCCCATAAAATGAAATAGAATTCGGTGCAATATATATCAGGATGGGATGGGATGGGAGCCTGTACTAAGAGTCCACAATTTCAAAATACTGCTGCCAGTGATTAAATTTCATTAGTCGCAGAATAGTCAGTCAGTCATAAACAACCCAACTAATTCCTCTTCAGGATGTTTTCAGTATTGTTTCACGGCTAGCATTGGGTTGGGAATGGGAGTATGCACCGGATTTATGTTCCTTTGCCAAACGACGTTGTTTGAAATAGGTGCTGGCTAAGAGATCAAAGTTGAAAATGGTGTGAGGGCTGTCGCTCTATTGTGGCCTGCGTCTCTGACGCTATCAGCTAGAGCACAGCCAGTGGGACGACGGTCGGGTCAGTCTTGAGTGAGCGTCGAGAAGATTCTGGATATGAACCATGGAGTTGAGAATTACTACACGAGTCCGGAAAGGAAAGGTGGAAACTATTGGGTCTTGTGGAATAATTGTGTATAAAACAGAACTGACCTGAAGTTACTATCTTGGGAGGGGGGGGGGGGGGGGGGGANGGGGGGGGGGGGGGGGGGGGGAATACAGACAAGAGCGTCAAATTCACTGATCCCTAACTCTGAAACCGTGTGATCTTTACATCTCGTATAGAAATTTTGACTATGAACAGGCTGCTCGGCTAGTGCCCTTATCATCATACCATGGCGCCATTTAGCGCCAACTTGTGACAACCCCTCGCTTCTTGAAATTCGTTAAAACTCTATGGTGGAATTATATTGTCCTGGTCAAGAATTGAGGACGAGTAAGATCCAGAGTTCTACGTCTTTGCGAGGAAGCCTTTTCCTTCACATTCTGGCGTTCACCGCTTTCCTAGCCATTGGGTTTAGCCTTTAAAGTAGAAACTGCAGTTGCATTCGAGGTCAAGTCGTGTTGTATGTTCACTTTAATGCAAAAATTCGGATGATGGGAACGGATGTTGCACCATTATAGACGTTGAAAGTTAATGTCATTTCATAGTCAGGTTCCTATACCCTATAGGCAAAGCTAGGTTTTCTAAGGGGATCGAGGTTGTAATAGTCGGATTCTGCCAGTCTTCTGCCGGGGGTTCTCCCTGCGCCACCTGATACACGAACTTTTGGCTTGTGCTATAGTGCGATGGTTGTCTGAAATCATCAAAGGGTAGGGAACATTCCGGAATGCTGTGAATTACGGTTATGTCTACATTGTCCTTTTCGGACAAGTCGTTCGAGTACAATGATGACAGTACATTTAGTGAAAGAATTGTGCAAATTTGACCGAGTCGAAAGCATTCATGTTAGAATTGTTTTTTCTAGTTGTTTACCACTGGAATAATATCTAATAAGGATTTGTTTCAGTACCATCGAAAAAGGATCGCGAGCAACTTCTGTTGCAAACAGAGATGTGAGTTTTCTACAAAAAATTACAATATTCAATTTTCATAAGGGTTTGTCGCATTCATTCAGTGCACAGCGGGTGAAAACATATTATTACTTGTAGGAACGTTTTCTTTTTTTTAAAGAAGTGATACCATCAACTTAGTATTAAAAATTGGACTACTGTGCAAGGTGAATTCTTGGTTAACGCCGCTCTAATCTAGTAGGCATTTCATTTAATTATCTGTCACTTGCACTGTAAAAAGGTTTAGAGTCACGTGTAATAACTGCTTTCTCTGAACAATCAATTTTCAAGGTTGGCGTGTACAGTTACACAATGAGAGGATGAATAGTGTTGAGATCTAGATTGTTGAATTTTGTAGAGTCGCTAAGGTGTGAGCTCTTCCTTTGTTTCCCAGCTCTTGTTATTGCCAATCTGTCACTTTCTACACGCTCCCACATTACCTGTTTTTATGGTTCCTTACTTGCAGATGATTGAAACTGTCCCAACATTTCGTCGTTCTATTGGAATCCTGATGTTGCCGAGTCGATCTTTTATCCTGGCAATATGTAGGAGTCCCGGTAGATGGAGAAATTTGCATATCTTAGTAATGACAAAATGATAAATGACCCGGCGGTGTATGTGGCTGTCAAGAATGCATATAGCTGACAAGGTCGCTACTTTCAAACGAGTATTTCTGTAGGCAGCCGTTGCTGTTATCGATTAGTGCAGTGATTGATATATTAGCCAAAAATTTCGACTAATGCGTACACAGTGCTGCCTTACTATTTGCAGAGGTCGGTCTTCCTAGATTGTTTATATTGATATAAGATGCAAATTAGGGAGTCGGTTTGTTAGTACTGCCAGTAGCCGGTACGGTTATTTTGTTAGCATTGTTTCGAAGGGGGTACGATTGTCATTTCTATCTAACTTACTGAGCTAACTCTATGCGCTTCAGAAGTCCTTGTTCTAAGGGGCCATACCGGAATGATACTTCCGTCACTATGTTCTCATTGATTCATCGCTACTTTGTCATATGCGTCGAACTTCGGCCTTGATGTTTTTTATGTTTGCTTCTTTCTCGTTGGGAAGAGGTCACACTATTGAAAAGAAGGACTTGTCACGACCGGACTAGATCTCAAATTGAGAGCGAAATGTTTCGTGAAAAATGATACTTTCATGATTGTTTTTATATTCGACGGGGGTTCGGTAAGTTCGACATGCGCCATATTAAAGGAATATGGGAGTAAAAACCTTTTTTTACACGCATCATAAACTGTTTGATCTATCGCTTGGCAGTTCTAGAACTGTCTTAAGGATAGTAGGCAATTTATAAGTCCAAGCAACTTTAAAATCGGATTTTCCTTGCGTATTCAATTGGGAATGGGAGAACATTTTTTTCTGAAGAATACTTTCGTATACTCATTTCCTTTTCGAGTATCCTATTTGGAATTTTCTCATAGTTAACTGTTTTATACGACCCATTCAGTTCGGTACCTGTTTTCAACAAATCAAAGCTGAAACGTAACAATACGCCGTTGACTCTCACACCTCCGTCAACGCCTTCGTCTCCTTTGATTGAACAGCAAATTGAATTCCTACATAATTGTGAGTTCATTTATTTAAATTCGTGCAGCTATCTTTTTTTTTTATTTGGATATCTCATCATTTTGAGGAAAATGAGATGAAAGTACACAACACTTGCTACTTGCCCTCCAGTTTTTTCGATCAAAGAACGCAAATAGATTTCGTTGTTTATTACCATGTCTATGACACTTTCATCTACTCAATGTTTTCGTTTTCCACATTCTTACGATCAGTCGTTCCTCATCTTTGTTTTTGTGATTGGTGCACCTGTTTACGTTTCGTAATGTGACAATCGTCTAGGCTCAAAACACTTTCTTGGACCGTGTTTGTCATACACAATGTCAATAGCGCAGTACCGCGCCTTGGCTTCTGAGCGCTATCTATAGAAATCCAAACAAATGGCCATAACCGTGTTAGTTTTTGTTGTGAATGCTATTTGGGAAGGAATCTGTCTGGTACTATAGTAACAGGCGTGCGTTTTGGACTGGGATTTGGACTTTGGTGAGCCAAATTCCTTGCGAGATTGATTTCCTTGCGCTTGTTTGCCCCACATGTACTTTTGTTTTGGATTTTGTACTATGTTCAATCCTATTCAACGCTTTGATTCTTGATAAGCAAAAGCGTGTCGCCCTTTAGATTTGAGTCGCAAGGAAGGTCTTCCACACTGAATATTTTTCCCTAGACCAAGGGTATCATGTGGTTGCGGAGGGTTGATTTCGTGGTCTTCCATCATTACATGGACGAGTGGACTCGGTGTGAACGGGGAAACCGATGATGCTAGCAAAAGCAGACTCAAAAGAACTTCTTAATCGAATTGTCTCGCTACAAATCATCATTATGAAATGGCTAATGAAAAAGGGTAATATGAACCCGTTTGTTTGGCTTTGTGGATTTTAGGAAAAGGGTTCACAATGTTGGTAGCTTATCTCTCAAACAAGAGTGCTTTTAGGACATAGTTCAACTTCTATGTATTTTTTACATGATTTCGTACTCATTACTTTAAGGTGTCAATTTCTTTTTTTGTGTTTCATACTCATTATTTTTTACTCATCACCTTTTGTATGTGTAGCCTGACCGTATAAATGAGTTTTTCAGCTTGGCGATCTTTCCATGAAACACCAACGGGAGAGACCGATCCAACGATAGTGGTTTATCGCCGAGGAAAAGAGCTGCCGCCAGATTTTGAGCCATTCAATATTGATCGTTTTCTTGCTGAAAAGCTTTTGAAGGAGTTGGACATCGATCCCAAGTTTGCCATTTTCTGAACTCAGTTCAGTTACTTGTCTCAAATAGTTGTAGTAGTGTAGTAGTTGTTTTAGCGGTAACGATAATGTTTTCCGCGTATTAGAACGTAGTGTAGATTAGATATAGTTGTTAGGAATAGGCTTAATTTAGTTAGTGTTTGTTGTTACATTTGTTTTTAGTTTATTTAAATGCATGCATAGATATCTAGTTGTTTCTAAAAATGCTGTAGATGTGGCTAGTAATAGGCGGTGCGCTTGCGATTATTCTCGTTTACTAGTAGTTAACCAAATTTTTCGGTAAATTATGTTTTTTTTCGTACGTGAATTTCATATGCTTTGATCAAGGTATTGAGATTACTAGGAAGCTGTGCAGTCCCATCATTCACACTTTTTCGCTGATTTGTTCGTTTTCCTATTTCGTTCGAGTAATATCAGTGGACGGCAGTTTGTATGACTATTACGTAGTGAGACGTATAATTCTTTTTTCTCACCACCTCATTCTTGGAAATTGCGCGGTTGAAGCTGGGGTTTGATTGTCACTCACTCAGAGTTCACCTCAGTTTAACGATTACCGATTATTCATATTGCATTTAATCGATACGTCGATATTATTATGTGTTTCAAAGCAGCCATCGAAAATGTTTTTCTTACGAGTTTTTCATAATATCTATGTCATACTTGCGTTTTTAATTCATCACAATTGCTCATAAGATCGATCATGACTACAAGTCATCTCTATAGAAATCTTCCACTAAGAGGATTTATCAGTCGGTTCCAGAATGTGCCTTTATATTGCTTAGTGGTAGTGATATCCAACGGTTTTATCATATTTGTTATCAATTTCATGGTATATTGTGCTGTAGTCGATCAGTTTCTTCTTCACCTATTCTTTCATTTGTTTTTCTTCTGACATTTGGGTGGCCTCATAAATGTGTTGTATGCTCAGTTTTGTAAAATTTCGTCTGCAAAGCAGCATTGTTGTAGGTATAATTGTTTAAACATGGGTTTTACCGCAAAGTACACGAGATGAACGTCGGAGATGGAACTACTATGAACTCATGACTGGCGTGTTGTGGCTCGCCATGCGCAGAAAGGGAAATCGGAGTGGAGCCCATGGAGTAGGGGACACACTAGACTTCGTTGGATAGAGAAGAAGGGATTTCCACTGTGAAATAGATTGGCTCCCATGGACTTCTTCGATTCGTGAAACGTGCACGCATAGGTGGTACTTCTTCGAGATGTGATCTGGTGGAATTCTTACTACCCTCAATAATAAACAGTAGAGCTCTCTGACTTTAAATGATCTCGCTCAAATAGTCATCTACGAAATCGACTTCATAGGGAAACTTTCGAATGTTATGTCCCCTACATTTGAGGGGACCATTTTATGTTATCCTGGTAGACGATATAAAACTTATGGTATCCTCTAAGAGAGTCAAAAAGTGGTGGTCTGCGTTTGAACTATGGAATGTTTGTTTGACCTGGTAGGTATCGTGCTGGTATTCGACCTCGGGATTATATGCATATATGAGTTAGCGCGGCGACATTAGAGCAACTCCACCTACCATGGCTTCTTGTAGGCAAGGGTCACACCTTACTACAGGAAGCCTTACCTGTTGTCAGGAGGAAACACACACAGTCTCTCTTTTTCTTCTGACGGGGGTCTCTTTTCTGCAAATGCCGTCGCTGTCATTGTGATGAAGTTAGATGACGTTAAAGTGCAAAAAAAGCTATTAGTTGATGAAATTTGTCAAATTAGAGAGTCGACATTAAGTCTTCATTCACTTCCTTTCACAACCTGTTTTTTTGTGACCGAACCGAATAGAAATCACTACTCTACCAACAGCAAGGGTGCTGCTTTGCTCTCAGCCTAAGGAGGGAGTAGCAAAATCGAGAAGAAGGGGTTTTCCTTATTCAGAAAAAGATTCTGGTTTTGTTCCGCTCCACTCTGGACCCTTTTCGGTTTGGGTTCTTGGGCAGTGAACCGAAGCCGCATCAATTCTTTCGCTATGCAAATGGTGTTTGAGTGGATAGATCTGGGTACCTCACGAATTCTTCAACTTACCAGCAGTTCCTTTGACTACGTTGGGAATGGGCGAACGTGGTGTCGAGGCAGATGACACACTATCATACGCATGTTTACGGGATCGAATCCAGAATGGTCTCCGCCCGGCCATCTAAACATTCCATCCCTCCTGGGCCAGTCTGGTAGTACCAGGCTCTTATGGAAGGATAGAAGCAGTGACTTCTTCATCGACTAGTCACTGTAAGTCATCGTATAGACCTCGTACGCATTCAAATACCACCACGATTCTAAATGGAAGTCTAATGCGTGGCGTATTAAAAATCGGGACTGGTCCTTTGAGACTATGGGCATTGACCACTCGAAACGAGAATAAAACAGATTCAGTTTTAATGTATATTGGCTGGTCACAATTCCCAAAATAGGCCTATTTACACAGAATTTATGGCACAAAACTAGTTTAGCTCATCTTATTTCGTTCAGATTGGAAACAAAGATTTATTATGCAAAGGCACAGTAGTACCTCCACATTCTTTCAGAGTTCATTTTACGTACAACTGCAACTCATTTTCCGATTCGTCTCAACCCCACCAGTAAATGTTCATTTCAACAAGCAGTACAGTACAGCAGTGGATGAGCAGTTTGGGAAAAGGCCTTAAGTGAGAATTTCGTCTTCCGCTTCGTCAAGCTCTGCCATAATTGCATGATGTCGCCGTTGATTCAATTTTCGGAGTTTTTGAAGATTTTTGTCGAATTCTAATCGAAGCTCATCTCGCTCTTTCTCCACCTGCAATAGAACTCATACATTTATAGTATTCCTAAGTAACAGAACGATAGAGAGCCAGCTGCAAAGTCCTTGAACTGATCCTGGACCGATCAACTTTTTTGCATCTCTGATACATGGAGAATCACCCTGTGGGTGTTCACACTGAGGGCCACAATCAACGAAAACCTAATCGGTCACATCATAATGGATAGAAACAGCTCTACTAGTGGGCGTGCAAAGACGGCTGTGGGGATGGCTGACCCTGGGCAATCCGTATGCCCGTCTCCCTTATCTAGCTGGTTGTGAAAGGTAAACCACCTTAAGCTCCTCTCAGTTGGTTTTTGTTTTTTCATTACATCGCCGTGTCAGCGCAGATAAATCACCCACCTTAGCGAATTCTTCATAGGTGGTCTTAGCGATCAACATTTGTTTTTCCAGTTCGTCACGTAGCTGGTCAATGCTCTCCATTCCTTGCTGAAACGATAGGTATCGATTGTAAGGTGGTCAGGGACCGAGAACATTGTTCTATGTAACGAACTCGGTATTTTGCTTTAAAGAGCCTTAGCTCTTTTACTTCTTTCCGTAGGTCCTCTATCTCAGCCATGGTACTGCCCATGCCATGTGATCGCTCCAACAATTCCAAGTTTGCGTTCTCCAGCTGCCGTTCGAAGTTCTCGTTCATTTCGCGACTTTCCTTGAGTTGATCCTCAAAGTAGCAACCGTAGATATATTTTTCATGAAGTCACCAGCCCCAAAACAGTTTCCTGATTCGTTGCAGAAGAAGCTATCGTAAATACAGAGAGTCCTTGAATTTGACTTCATCGGAATTTCTCCAAAGTTTGGTTCAGTCGTTTGCATAGCAAATATAGGAAGCTCTTATGGGAATTGAATTTGGCCACATTACTCGTTAGGTTTTCAAGTAGGCCTCCTGCACGACTCACCTCAGGGGTGGGGGCAGGATAAAGGGAGTGTCTGTGTGGTTCGAACATATATATAGTGAGAGAATGACATCCTTACCATGGGAAACCAAGTCGACGTTGATGGGATGTAAATTACTTGAAATGATCGGAGCGTAGTCAGGAAATGAAGAGTGCGAGATAACTTTTCTCCCTTAGTAAAGTCCCGTGTCGTTAGGATTCTTGGGTGTATCCATCGATGAACCAGTACTGAATATACTGACCCAGCAGTGAATCGTTGCTTTCATAGGCGTAGATACAAAGTCAGTGCGGAGAGGGGAGGAGAGAGACGGTGGAGGGATCATAGGAGTGGGGATCCCTTCGAAAAGGTCAACTGCTACATCTTAGATAGCACAACGCAATTTTTTTACTCTCAGGCATAACTTATGGTCGCCACACATAGTCTGGGGATTGGAGCCCGAATCGACACTCCCCTAGGTTAACAGAGCCTTCCATCCTTCCGAAGACGGTAATTTGTGCCACTGAGAGGTTGAAAAGCACTGGCTTGTACGTCAGCTACCTCTGCAAATCATTGTATACGCCTATGCATTCAAACGTCACTACGATTCTAAACGAATGTTGAATGCGGGGTGCATCCCAAAGGTTAAATGATTGAATCCGAAAACTTAATTCTTTATTTATTCTTTTATCATCATTCCTATTGTTAGAAAGAACCATATTATTTTCCAAAAGCAGTACCTGAAGGTAGTCGATACGACCATGTAATTCTGTGATTTCTCTCAGATGAGAGGTTTCTCTTTGACGAAGTGTTTGTTCAAGCCGCAGCGTAAGATCTTCCAGTTGACGATCGTTTCGTTCTTGCGCAATCATCAACTAAATTCCGTCGTAATTTTGGAGATCTTTTGAAAAAATGTTGATAAGAAGATCTTTGTAAGTGGGTTAGATTAAAAGGACAAATTTTATAAATAAAGAACAATAGGGTTCCTATCAGTTTTTCAAGCGTTTGGCACTATACCCCGCTGCCCTTTCGATCACTGAGGGCTATGAATGGGGTTCAAGGGGTTAAAGTAAGCGATAGGCCTGCAATTATTAGAACTGAGACGAGCTTCACGACCGGTCATTACGATACATCAACTATCGTATCAAGTGGATAAATAAGTAAACAAACAAACAAGTAGTAAAGTAAATTGCAGTTAACTCTAACTTTCATTTTTATGTAGTAGATACACGTAAAGGTCCTCTGATACAAATCCATTGGGATGTTAAACCATAGAAAGCTCAAAGAAGCTTTGAATGTAGATAAACTGTTATAAATAGCAACACTTAAGTAGTAAGTAGAGGTTTACCTTATGTTCTACATCTTCCCTGAGAACATTGTCGATTTCGGTCAAAATCCTCTGAATAGGACGTCGTACGTTTTCGCCTGTCTGCGATTCACCCAGCAATATTGCAAGAAGACCAGCCAACGGTGAGCCATCTACCTGAAATACATCTTAACAACTGGAGCTACAAGTGAAGGGAAGGAACGGCGAAAAACAAGGAATAGATCGCCTTCGATCGAAACAGCAATCAACCGAAGCTTAGATATCCATAATCATATCATACTAACTCTGCCATATGGGATTATTATTGATACGACAACAGTTTCCAACATCCAGCTATTTCATCAGATCTACTGCACCCAATACTACTTACAGAAACGAAGATTCAGTCCGGCACTCGGCTCTTACTGTAACCCCCTGGCTACCCCACCACCCAACTCCGTGTCCTTGCCCAAAGCCCCTTTTCGACGCGTCGTATATATGACGGGTAAAAATTTGCGTATTAACACGTGCCGGACTACTGTAAGAGCCGAGTGCCAGACTGAATTTTCGTTTCTGTATACTATGAATTTTCGTTTCTGTTACTACTTGACCTCACGCGGCTATTAGGAAAGAAGTGTTGAGAATGAGCGAGATTCAGTGCCATAAAATATGTCGTCAACTGTGGCAGCAAATCAAACTGAGTAAAGGTCAGGAGGCGCCATCGCCGCGCTTAAACTAGGTCGCCGCGGTTACGGCGACTTTATTTGGTCGTGTCATAATTTTTTGCTTTTACACGACAAAGAAAGACACTCTCAGTTTACGGTAGGATAACGAAATTGTGGAATGCACAAATTAAGAAAGTTGATGTTGTGAATAATTTCCTTTGAAAATGTGTTTAATTCTTAATCGATTTAATGATACCTCATCAATAACGTCACGATAACGACTATTCTGTGGTGTTGATCTATCATCGGCCCCATGAGTTCTCAAATCAGCAGCCTGCTGCAGCAGACCACGAACTCTTCTTCTAAGTTCCTAAAACAGAATTGGTTCAAATTTGAATTCTGTCTGGCAACAAAACCTTTAACAAGTTGCTATATTACTGTAAGTATCGATTCCGATCCTAAGCAACCTCGAAAGGCGTAATGTGGTAACTAGAAAAGGGCCTCAGCTAGTCGTGTCAGGACCCTTTATCTTCAGGATGTAAAAGATGAAGGTCTGAGAATCCATTGTGTAGATCGCTGTGGTCAGCAACCTAGACTACACGAGGTTTGAGCTACTAGCACGAGGCTACTGGAAGAAGGCTTAGAGGATGAAATCCCGCATGGGGTATAGCGCAAGCCAGCCAATCATTTTATCTTCTGAAAGTCAACTCGTCAGTAGCAGATTTGAAAGGATCGCATAGGATCACCTGTTCATACATCTGCTGAGCCAGGAAAATCTCTCAAATGGGTTAATTATTAACAACTTATCAGTCATATAAAAGTCTTTAATGAAGTTGGGTGACCTTAGTCGGCATTCAAACAGAGTGACTTCCAAAAGGCTAACCTCGACGTGAACTGCTCTTTCTGATTGATTGACCCTCTGCTTTGATGTTTGTGGTCTCCTAACCTGAATTTACAAATATTATTGAATTCCACATCCGCAGCTATCTGAGCGAGAAAAGGAATCAGTCAAAGAGATACCAGTGCGTGTTGCGCTGGATATGTTCTGAGGAGAGGAACCTGTATTGGTGAGTTTGCTCTGTGTGAAATGGGTGCAGATGGCTGGTTCTTTCTTGGAATCTGCAATAATTTAAAGATTACAGCGGGGTAACTCAGCAAATTTGAAGGCCATAGCTTACGGTAAAGATTGCGTCGGAGATTTCTTTTGGTGGGAAATCTAGTGAAAGTGAAAATCTATTGCAAGAAGACTAGCTCATGAAACTGATTCAGAAGAAAATTCACCGAATATGCTTTAGATGAAATTATTCCTTTTTCATCCCTCATCTACACATCTATTGGGAACTGCAGTGAAGGAGGCTCAGCCAAAAAGTAAAGTGGAATGTAGTGGATTTTAGATAGTTCCTTTCGAACTTTTTTCNCGGAGATTTCTTTTGGTGGGAAATCTAGTGAAAGTGAAAATCTATTGCAAGAAGACTAGCTCATGAAACTGATTCAGAAGAAAGTTCATCGAATATGCCTCATTAGATGAAATGATTCGTTTCTCATCCCTCATCTACACATCTATTGGGAACTGCAGTGAAGGAGGCTCAGCCAAAAAGTAAAAGTGGAATGTAGTGGATTTTAGATAGTTCCTTTCGAACTTTTTTCTTATCTGGTGAGTTTTCAAATGCTGGCATTGCATTAAGCAGTCAAATTTTGAAATAAATGAAGACAAATCAAGGATAAATCTTCGAGCATTAATCAACCTGAGCCATGCAGGGAAAGGGCCCTGCATCCAACTTGTATCTAAAATTATAGTGGCATTTGAATGCGTGTGTGGCCTATTCAATGATTTAGGGTGGCTAGCCAACGTTCAAGTCAGTACTTTTATCCTCAGAGACGAGTCTGGCACCAGCATCGAAGGAATTGAAGGCTCGGTTTTGTTAGGCAAATATCTACCCGGGATTCGATCCCCTACTCAGCGTGTGTGATAGAGAACATCCTGCCACTACACTATGTTCACCCAATTAAAAACCTAGGAAAACATTCCATAACGTGAACAATTCCCTCTACCGATCCGTGCTTTGGAATGTGGACAAGGTTTAATTTACTCAAAACGTACAACTTATCGCATGGTTACGGACTTTTTCAAAAAAAAAAAAAAGATTTTTAGGAATTTTATTAAATCACATGACAGATTGTTGTAACGATCACATCGATGTGCTTCATTGTCTTCTCCTGGATTGAGAACAAGACATTACTTTATGGTGACAGATTCGATAATGAGTTCAGTACTGAAGCAAAAGCCAGCCAGAGTCACTTCGCTAGAATCCTACCGGTTTCTGCATTTTGTCTCATAAAAAAGAGATCAAATCGACATTCATCAAAAGTGCTCTACACATAACTTCGAAATTTTGGTAGGTAGCTCTTTTGTTGAAATCATGACCAATAAAAAAGTTCAGACCCTTTAAAAAACAGTTAGGGCCATATTACGAGAAAAGGTACAGCATCCTGAGAGGTTACGTCTGACCGCAATTCATAAATAGAGTTCAGCATGTTGTATCCGAAGATAAGAGATATCTTACCGGTTTCACCCTTACTACGGATGGCTTCTTCACTACTGCATTGGTAATCCGGCTGTCCATTAATGAACTCGGTAGATCTGATGAATAATCCGCCCAACCGACCGCTACGACCGACAGCTGCACCAAGTTGGCATGGAGACGGCGTACGCAATCATTGCATCTAAACGCGGACAATTTCACCCTGGGAACGGACAAATTGAGAAACGTTTCATCTGAAAACTGTTCTGATAAGATACTTCGTAAATCTATTCCAAATTAATGAAATCGTTTTTGTAGACGAATTTTTTAAAAAGAATACTGCCCTGATGACGAACGGTTGGTACAAATGGTGCCAAATGGCAGACCGTTCTTCTCAGGTAGGTCACCATCTAGTCCACTTCTGTTGAGGTGCTCTAAAGTCTCAGGTCTGGGACATCTGCGAATGGAACCAAATATATGTTTCGAACAGACCGTAACCACTGGTGAGTCGAATCCAATGAACTTCAAGAGAGCGAGACCAGTCTAGGGATACAATATAGACTCATTTACAATTTCCAATAACAACGCTTCCATAGGGCGCTTCGTTGACCGGCGTCTTTCTACCTTTTGAAGAGAGATATAGTTCTAGTTGACTTCATGGATCGGAATTTTGTAACATTAGAGCATACCTACTCGTATTTTACGACGTTCCTTGTCCATTTCACATACTCTTGGGGGCGGGCATGCCTGGAAGGGCGTTCTTGACGGCATTTAAGCCCTAACCACCTTCTCGAAATTTATCAGGATGTACTGTGGAAATGCACGAAATACCAGAAGATCTACTCAGCAGTGTATTGAGGACAACATAAGCGAGTCACTGCCACTATACTATATTTCTCAAATACAGCTGCGAAACAACAAAAAACTGCCTCAGCCAATGAACTGCAAACTATAAAAGAATTTTTTTTCAACTACTCTCTACTTGATTTGTAACGATACAACTTGCTGGCTAGTCTAACATTACTTTCAAAGGCTTTCAGAGGATCGATTTGCTACCCTTGTAACGTAAACGGCCGTTCAAATCAATTCTGATCTGTTCACAAAGCTGAGTGAGCTTTTACTGGAAGCCAGACAAAAGCAACAAAGAAAGGCTCCATTTTGAAGAACTATCAGGAAGCAGTCAGCCTTTTTCTCGTACTCTTGGCTTCATTAGGCTACTGGATCAATAGAAGCTATCGTTTCGTGCTTCGTTTTAAGGCAGACCAGTACCTCTCTAACACATCGGCTACCTAAGATATATATTACCAGCTGCCATCAAGGTACCGTCATTCAGTCAACTGCCCACTATTGCAAATATGCAAAATCGTAAGCAACCGAGACACTTAATACAATTATTAGCATATTTTATTACATAACAGAACAAAATATGACCACGACAAGCCTTGATTTCTACATTCTAAAAAGAATGATAACGGCGCCGTGAACGAGATCTCAAAAACAATAACAAGCATGCAAAATCTAGTCGACCTCCTCCATTCGGGATGCGTCTTCTTCAGCACCGGCAACTTTAGGAACCTCAGCTGCACAAGAAGCAGCAGGGAGTTCTTCATCCTCATCATCTCCAATATCGAGACCCAGCTTGATCATTCTGTAGATCCTTGAAGCGTGGGACTGGGGCTCCTCCAAGGTGAAGCCAGATGACAACAAAGCAGTCTCGAAGAGAAGAATAACAAGATCTTTCACAGTCTTATCATTCTTGTCAACTTCGACCCTTTCGCGGAGAGTTCTGAAAAATAAAGATCGTAAACCCCAAGTCAGTTCTGAGCCAACTGATTATGAACCACAAAACCTACTTCATGATTGCATGGTCGGGATTGATTTCGAGGTGTTTCTTCGCAGCCATGTAACCCATGGTTGATGAATCTCGGAGGGCCTGTGCCTTCATAATACGCTCCATGTTCGCGGACCAACCGTATTCAGAAGTGACAATGCAGCAAGGAGAGTGGACGAGTCGGTTCGAAACGACGACCTTCTCAACTTTCTTCTCAAGAATGTCCTTGATGACTTTGCAGAGGTTCTCGAACTTGACCTATAATAAAGTAAATTACGATACCACGTAGCGCATCCAAACGAATCTTTCTACAAACCTTGTCTTCCTCAAACTTCTTCTTCTCATCCTCGGACTCTGGAAGTTCCAGACCCTCTTTCGTTACAGACACCAGTTTCTTTCCTTCGTATTCCTTCAGTTGCTGCACGCAGTACTCATCGATTGGGTCAACCATATACAAAACTTCGAATCCACGATTGCGAACCCGTTCAACAAATGCAGAGTTGGCCACAGCATCCTTGGACTCTCCGGTAATGTAGTAGATCTGAGTCTGATTGTCTTTCATACGCGACACATAATCCTTGAGAGAAGTTTGCTCATCGGGCGAAGAGGATGAGTAGTAGCGAAGGAAGTCAGCCATCTTCTTGCGGTTGGTCGAGTCCTCATGGATACCGAGCTTTATGTTCTTTCCGAACTGTTCGTAGAATTTCTTGAAGTTGTCTTTGTCCTCAGCGATTTCCTCGAACAGCTCCAGGCACTTCTTAACAAGGTTCTTGCGGATAACCTTCAAGATCTTGCTCTGTTGGAGCATTTCTCGGGAAATGTTAAGCGGAAGATCTTCAGAATCTACGACACCCTTAATGAAGTTGAGGTATTCGGGCATCAGCTCCTCGCAGTTCTCCATGATGAAAACTCGTCGCACATACCTAAACAACATGTAGTGAGATTGGGAACAGCAGAGGTAGAGACACAAAGAAAGGTAATAGAGACAAACATACAGCTTGATCGAGTTCTTGTTCTTCTTGTTTTCAAAAAGATCGAACGGAGCACGCTGAGGAACAAAGAGAAGCGCACGGAATTCCAGTTGCCCTTCCACAGAAAAGTGCTTCACTGCAAGGTGATCTTCCCAGTCATTCGACAAGCTCTGAAATTACTTAGATGATGTTTTATACATAGCGAAGATTAGAAGGATCATCCCAAGACCAGGAGTAATACAACTTGATCTTCTTTCCATGACAACTCACCTTATAGAACTCTGCATATTCTTCATTGGAGATGTCATCAGGGTTACGAGTCCAAATCGGCTTAGTCTTGTTCAGCTCCTCATCCTCGTGGTACTTCTCCTTGATCTTCTTGGTCTTCTTCTTCTTCTTATCGGCATCCTCGTCCTCGCCGACATTCTCAACTTCGCCTTCCTTGGCCTAAAATTCGTGATTATTATATTGAAATCAACGGCCAACTCAACCTTAGCATACGCGACTGCCCTAAAACCTTACCTCCTCTTTCGTCTCTTCTGCTTCATCATCTTCAACCTCCTTCTCACGCTCTTTCTCTACCACAAGTTTAATCGGATAGCCGATGAACTGAGAATGCTTCTTAACAATCTCCTTGATGCGGCGTTCCTCCAAGACTTCAGTCTGGTCCTCCTTGATATGCATGGTAATCTTAGTTCCACGAGTTACTTCAGGATCGTTGACTGCTCTAAAACGCCAGATGTAAGCATAAAAATAGATAGTATCAATAAAGGGTCAGTAAACGGTTCAGTAACATACCTAACTACGAATGAGCCGCCAGCGCTGGATTCCCATTGATAGCAGTCATCATCGTTATGCTTGGACGTGACTACGACGCGGTCTGCAACCAGGAAGGCCGAGTAGAAACCGACACCGAATTGCCCAATCATTGAGATGTCAGCTCCAGCCTAAAATGTGTAATAATGAAACTTAAATTGCAACATTAAAATAATCGCCGTGAGAAGAAAAAGAAGTAAATACCATACCTGTAAGGCCTCCATGAAAGCCTTCGTTCCTGATTTGGCGATCGTTCCCAAATTATTGACCAGGTCCGCCTTAGTCATTCCAATACCAGTATCAATGATAGTGAGGGTTTTGTCCTCCTTGTTGGGGATGATTTTGATGTACAACTCCTTTCCTGTGTCGAGCTCTCCTGGTTCAGTAAGAGCCTGAAATAAACAAAATCAGGAAATTCGGATACAACTAAATGTGTACCCCTACACATTTCACCATCAAAAACCCATACCCATTTATGTTAGAAAAGAAAGGAAGGGGGCCCAGAAGCCAGGAGCCCAAAGACATATCTATCAAGGTGAATCCTTCCATCTTTTACATCACCACCATACAAAGCACATCACTTTATCATAACAAACGGCTACAGAAATTATACCCAACCTGAACTGCTACTCGCATTCACCCAAATTGCTAGTCGAAAAGGTTTTGCAAAATCAACGGTGAACCAAGGCATTCCCAATCAATCGGACCTTCCCAGTAAACACCCAACTCCACCCATCTGGCACTACGACATACAAAAGGAACCCTCGAAACCTAAGTTTCTGTCCCACCTAGAAACCACCTTTCATCTACGAATACACTTCAAACTTGAATTACTAACCTGATAACGGATTTTGTCCAACGCATCGGAAGAGTTCGAAATCAACTCTCTCAAGAAAATTTCTTTGTTGCTGTAGAATGTGTTAATAATCAAGCTCATAAGCTGAGCAATTTCAGCTTGGAATGCGAAGGTTTCGCCTTTGTCGTCAGACATCTCTGAAAGCAGTTCAATGAAGATTGGTCAAACTGAATCACCACAGAATTCTCGAGAACTACGCATGTATCAACAGCGAAAGCAAATCTATTGAAACAGTGAGGAAAGTTATAAGAAAAGAGAGGAGTAAAGATATAAGCCTAAAGGAGTAACAAACGAGTAGCACCCCACCTGCAAAACACGTCCTAGCGATGATACCAACCACACTGCTGCAGTTATCCTATATAGTGAACCTGAAAGTTCTAGAGAATAAGGCGGAGCCTCGCTCTGTGATTGGTCAGTTTTGCTTCGCAGGGCGGTGCATAGAACGTTCGAGAATTCTTCGACGTCAAATTAGCCGTCGAATGCGCTGCGTGAGGTGCGGCTTCGCAAAGAATTTCGGAATCACCGTCTGTGTACTTTCAAACAAATCTAAAATGATGGAGAAAATGTAAAATCTTTGTTTGGGTTTCACTCTTAAGACCTTCAGCAAAGTTTTCTTTCACTTGATCGTTAGAAGGACACAGGATCGGGATACAGGGCCTAGACTTGTAAGCCTTCATCTCAGGGCCATTTTTGCTCCCATTTCGGGCCATCTAGGTGAAAGTGTTCTTGATTTAAGGTAGAGGTTTTCGTAGTGCTATCATTCACTTCAAAACAGTTTTTGTTCGAGTTTGACAAGTTTTTCTCGGTGAATGATTCGATTTACTCTCCCCATGGGACTATTCAGAAAATATTTGGTGGAATTCCAGTAATCATCAAATGAGGCTTGGTAACGTCATAACAGCTTGTTTTCAAAATGTTTTGTGCTTTCTCTATATCTTAAGTCGTGCAGACTTGCGGTTGTACAATCATATTTGTTTGATTTTATCATTGCTGTTTATTGTGAAGTTATTTTCATTTCGCTTACTTGGACGCTTGGAAATATTCTGAAACTTATTATATTTTAGAGCAAGATGTCCCGAGCCGATGCTGGACGTCTCATCCATTTGTCCAAAAAGCGCGAACGCGCAAAAGAGGATATTGAGCAGCAGCTAAAGAAAATAGAAGAAGAATCCACTAAAAGTGAGTAATAAATTGTATGTGTCAGATAGCCATAGTGTTCGTTATACATTTGTTACATGTATTTCACAGGAGCTGCTGGAATATCCTCTAAATTCACTGCGAATTATGACGCTGTTGAAGAACATCTCAAAACAAAAACTGTTGGGTTGGTGACCCTTGACGAAATGCGTGAGAAGCAGAAAGATGTAATACACGACCGGTAATTATCTTGGATTTTACTTGTCATAAATAGCTTTTTGGAATAAACACGAAGTTCTTTTCAAGTGAAGAGACGGTGGTTCGCGGTGAGAGCTCCAAAATACAAAAAGCTGATGGACATGGGGCAGGTTCCACACCTGACGAAAAAGTTGCACAGGTTGGTGGTTACATCCTTCTTCGCATGTTTTTATAGAGTGATCCGTTCTTGCTCTGTTACTTATGAACGCCACTGCGGTTATATACCCATTGTAATAATTTTCAAGTATCCATCCGTATAGTGTTGAATCGCTTTCTCTCGGGGAATTGATTTAGTGTGGGCACCTCCCCCGCAACTGCTAGTACTGTTGAGACTGCAATCTAGCGAGGAAATGAGGAAATTTCTCGAAAACCGACTTGGCACCTCCACTTTCTCTATTTTCCATCGCAAGTTACAATAACCTTGCGTGAGAGGGCAACTGTGCGGCTTTAATTTGGCAGCTGGAAAAAGCGCTTGGGTAGGATTCCACGATTTTTTTCAAAGCCACATATCACTACGGAATTGTTCTCAGAAAGCCAACACATCTTAGATCGCCTATGAGTTCAGTTTTTTTTGTAAATTCTGTCTTTCCAAACAAACTTATTGCTAATTCTTTTTTGAGTGCAGAGAACGTGGCGATGTGCGCACTGCTTTTGACTCTACCTCTATCGAGCCCTCATAAGTTTTTCCATCCAAGTTCTTAAAAACAATAATTTTTATAAAATGACTTTCAGAAGCGTGTTCTCTCATTTGCTTTTGAGGACGAAGAAGAAGAAGAAGAGGATGTCCCAGTCATCACGAAGAAGGTGCTCGTTTTTTCACATCTTCAAAATTAGAGATTACGAATTCTTCTGTATTTTAGAGGCTTGGTATGGATCCCACCATTGACACGAGTTTTCTACCTGACAAGGATCGTGAAGCGGAAATTGAAAAGTAAGATGGATTATTTCCTGTTAGGTTACTCATTCGTTCACTAAATGTTTTTAAGAAAGAAGGTGGAGCTTGCCGCTATTTGGAGAGCACAACAAGAGCGGGAGAAGAACGAGGAAATTACTGTCGCATTTGCTTATTGGGATGGTTCAAGTCATAGAAAAAATCTAAAAGTCAAAAAGGGCCACACTATTTCACAGTTTCTTACGTGGGCAATCGAGGTTTGTTTAATTACATTGGGAAAATAGAAACTCTCTTCATTTCCGTAAATCGATTCTATTTTTCCATAGGTGCTGAAGAAGGAATTCACTGAATTGAAGACAAGCGTCGCAGAGAATTTGATGTTCGTCAAAGAAGACTTGATTATTCCACACTTCTACACGTAAGTGTCGTTTCATCACTGATAAGATTTAGAAATGAGATTTTGTCACGATTACAAGCAGAAGAAGGTTGCTTGAGCTTGTGGCTGGCTTGTGGCTTGTGGCTTATCGAACACGTTTGTCTGTCGCCACTGCTGTCTTTGCATGGTCTCGCAATGCTCTTCCCTGTTCTTGAGCGAAAACTTGTTTTCCACAAAATGTTTGTCTGTGCATAGTTTAGCTAGGCTTTTCAATTCGAAGCGAAAGCTAGGTTCAAATTAGATTGAATACAAGAGATCTATAACTCAGGAAGTGATCATATGAGCTCAATGAACCTTATTGTTACTGCTAAACGGAGAGCAATCGCCCGGTAACGAGTGAAAAGGCAATCGGTTGAGAGCTCAATGTGAGCATTGTCTGTGACTTGAGCAGCTTTCCTATTACCCATGTTTCATTCTTTATCTGGTAATGGTACCGATGAACTGTTAAAATCAGTACTATTATGTTATTTTTCAGTTTTCAAGATTTCATTGTAACCAAGGCAATGGGGAAAACAGGACCGCTCTATGAGTTCGATGCTGCCGGTGATGTGCGTATACGACAAGATGCTGCTTTAGATTGCGGAGAAGCTCATCCAGCCAAGGTAGCGCTGTTCTGTTTATTTGGCATTTAAGTTTCGAAACAAAGAGTTGTTTCTCAGTGAGAAACATTCGCTTTTGCAATTTGACCATTAACTGAGGTGATTCATTTACGAACTAATTTTCACTCCTGCGCAATTTTGGAATTAGTGTCTTGCAATGTTGGATTTGCAACATAAACCGAACTTCTCCTTCAAAAAGTCTGTGAGTACAAAGGTTTTCTTTCTTAACAAATGTTGTAGTCAGGAGTGCAGATATAATATCGGTATCGGCAATATGAGTTTAGGCCGTGAAAGCTCTGCAACGGAACTTTTTTCAAGTTTTTTTTCTCGATTGGTTGACCTAATGGATGGCGTTCGAAATACCTGTTTTCATTTTAATTTTTTTGCGATTCGTATATAGTAAGGATTGCTTTTGGAAAGTTATTACGTTTATTTAGGTAGTTCTTCGAAGTTGGTATGAAAAGAATAAACATATTTACCCTGCGTCACGGTGGGAGCCATTCGTTCCCAACAAGAAGTATGGAAGGACAATTGATGATTTGTCTACCATCTGATCGGGGATACTTTTTGTATAGGTAATACTTTTTATGTACTGAATGTTGTCTATAGATCTCATCGAGTTGTGCCTCGTTTATCTTTAGTAGTATATTTCAGAGAAATGTTATGTTTTTGAAAATAGGAGTTTTGGTGCAATTGCCAATGACTGTAGGCTTGGTTAATTTATTTGAGATTATGTGATGATTCTTTACAAAACGTTTTGACGTTCTGCTGTGTTCCTAAATGCAAAGTTCTTTTAATGGTAGCTGAGATACTATGAAATTCCTTCGTGATTTTCCTTTCTTCAAGCGGTAGAGACTTTTGAAGACATGACATTAGCCTAGCGGGGGTACTCTATCACATATTCACGGGACTTGGAAATCCGACTTGTGGGCAACTTCTGTAAAGGTAGTCAAGAATCTNAGTGTTATGCGTAACTTCTGACCCTATGCATACATCACGCACCGTGTCAAAACTGTTTGCGTTCCTATGTATAATATGGTATAGGAAAGACCGGAGGGGCTTTCGGTCCTATCAATACATCCGCAGCTAAGCTTCATTTGTGCGACATTAGGTTCAGTTCCGAGTGGTGCGCCCTTCTATGACGACTGAAACATTGGCATACCATAGGTCTTATGTCATTCACTATTCCGGCAACGTCCGAATAGGAAATATTCGCTGCCACACATATACATATATATCCATTTATTTATTAATATTTTTATAAGAAGCTCAAATATTTTAACAGACAAGAAAGCCTTTCCCAGTGAAGTCGAATTTGAAGATATCGAATATCCTTGCCAGTTCCATCACCTTTGTTCGATGATGCTGAGCTTTCTGAAATGAATCAAGTTGTTATCGAAGTCGACGGTATCTCTAATGTTATAAACAACAAAATCAACTGCGTGGCGAAACCTACTTCTACCGAGCATATGATATCCATAATTTTCGTTAATCTAGCAGCATAATTGGGCATCTTCAAGTCGTTCGTGTAGTGATCATGTAGCTCGTCAGAAATACGTTCTATGACTTCTTCGGCTCGTAAACGGGTCGTCTCTCGGATATCCTTCCCTAAGCTGTACGCATTTGTGTAATTCAAAACACGATTAAAAACAGCAGATGGACCAGAACCTCAAGTGAGCTGATTACTGATAAGATAAATGCAATGATCTGTAGTTTGGCTGGTCTCCGCAAGTCATTGTATAGGCCACATACGCCTTCGAAAGGTCCCAGCGATTTCGAGGAAGTCGAATACACGACGCATTCCAAAAAATGGGCTGGACCAAGCCAAAACTCTTTAAAGACTTTATTTTCTCAAAATTCAGAAATAGGGGTCTGGAACGATGGTGTGCTAAAGATAGGGCGACGTCCAGGACCCACTGACTTTTTTGTGGGAAGTTCCTCGCGATATCTCAGCAGAACTCCTTATCTTACAGGAGGATCTATCTATACACTTCCAGTAAATACTCAGACTAACTACGAGTATGAATTCGTTGTAACCTTTGATACTTACCTTCAACATGCCAAACCAGTGCACAAAGGATGTATGATAGTTCAAAGCGGTCAAGATTCATTTCTAGCAGAGGTCGTCTCAATCCGTCCGTAATTCGACATCCGAAGTGGTCAAACATACTGAATATGCGGTTAATTGTAATCATGGACTCAGTTGCAAAACAACAAATGCACTATAGTTCCTCCAGTCTAGTACTCTGACAGCACCGGTATCACCTTCCCGAGTATACCGTGTGTTTTCCTTCCCGAGCTACAAACGCTAGTAGATCGCAGTCAAATTATTGTACTTGGGAGAAATACTTCAACGCTGATGGGCTGGGTTGAGAGCCCTGTGTGTCGATCAGAATATGTCTTTCCGTGGCGCACATCTTTGTCAGTGCCCATTCATAGACTGGGAATTACCAAGACATTGCGAGATTTCCCTCTTGGGCAAGTCGTGGTAAAACACTGATGATGTCCTTCTCGACAACCGACCGTTGCCGACCGAGCGTCCAAAAGTCCGACCTCTCCACTCGGGACTGGGAATTACCAAGACATTGCGAGATTTCCCTCTTGGGCAAGTCGTGGTAAAACACTAATGATGTCCTTCTCGACAACCGACCGTTGCCGACCGAGCGTCCAAAAGTCCGACCTCTCCACTCGGTAATTCGATACCCTACCTCATGCACCTGTTTTTCGTTCATACTCGACACTGTATAAGTCTTCTCAAACACTCTTTGTAGCCTTTTTTCTATTTCGGAACTTTCGTGAACGCTTTTTGATAGCCCTTAGTCGAGGTAGGCGAGAACTTTACACAACTTGAGGTTAATAAGTCGATAAATTAGAACAGCGGATTCTCCCCGTGAGTTACCTTAATTGCTCAAAATGGCACGCCAGTATTGTCTTATAGTTACACCAACCTTTTAATGCTTTCCGAAGTATAGTCACTGAGTGGCCCCATATCGAGCTGTACCGTATCCATGTTGAAGGCACCGTTCTCACTCGTCACATTCATCTGAAAAAAGGGATTGTCGAAGAGTCATGGAATGGAAGTCGGAAACGAGAAGCTAGCGAACAGAACAACTTTTCACCACTGAAAAATCGCTCTAGCTTTCTTTTGGAAAAATCAGTCGACGATACAAAAGGCAAAAATGATGCCTTCATGGGCGAGCTAACTTGTTCTGATGACAAAAGTTATCAGATTGGGTCGTCACCCGAGCGAGTGAAAGGTTTTCATGAGTACTGGCTAAAGTCTGCCGCAGTGAAGACTAAAATTGCAAGATTGAATTCAGGTCCGTGTTCCGAAGCAAAACTTTATAGAAAGTCTGACTTCGTTTTCGGCATAAAAATCGCTATCCAATGACTGTCCTAGCTCATCGATGTTATCTGCCGCTGCGAAAAGAATTGGATGCACTAGTAGAAAGCCCTAGTACACCTAAAAAGGGTCCCGAAAAAAGTGTTTACAGGAACGTGTTCCAGAGCTCTCAGATTTCCCATAAAATTACAAAGTAAAGCACACAAGAACACAGTAAAACACAAAGACACTGTAACTCGATTATTGTAATAAGAATTAGCCGACTCGCTGAAAATAAAAGGAAACAAGGAGTTATTACCCGTTCTTTTATGGCGCGTTCTCCAAAGATCTGCACAGTCATTTGCAGCCGTTCAAACTTCTGCCAAAGAGCCCATGAGGTTTTGAATAACGTCTCCTAGATTTGGATTCATCAAGTCCTACTTGACCGACCTTCACGGAGATTACAGAAGGCACCTTGTCTTCCAGAGGAAGCTCCGCAAAATCTTGACACTTCATCATCCATTTTGCTATCTCATATAATTGCGTTTTCCATGAGGGTAGCTCTTGTAGGAAGTCAATTTTCTCAAGAAGCTGAAGATGGCCTTAAACTGACCATAGATGGTACGATTATTAGAAAAAGCAGTCTTACTACGACATGGGAGTTTTTGCTCGAACGAAATTCTTCCAAAGCAAAATACATCCGTACCAGAAGCCGTTTCTCGAGATCGGGGCGGTATGGCTGGAACGAGGAAATCAGAACCGGAGAGCCTAATAATTTGTCGAAGCAAAGATTACCTGTGAGAAGATTCGCCTCAGAACGCTCATGACATCTGAGAGGTCAAAGGTCGGTTGAACTTCTGAGACAGCTCGTTCCGATGATGGCTTTTCCTACAAACGATGCTCAGTTAGGGACAGTCTTGGCAGTTGACAAGGCTTGATGAATCGTGAGAGAAGTCTCTCAGGACGGAGAGAATCAGTAGAAGAGATCACAGGTCAAGTCAGATTTTTTTTCGTTTTTTTTTTATCTTGGGGGAGTTGATATTTAGAATACGATGGAAAGATTAAGCATCCTCCCGCGACAGAAAGTTTGTGTTAATATAAGGGCTCCTGGAGCTGAAGTTAAGATCGTCAGACAGAGACGGCATCGCTCCATCGTCTTCTGCCACAAACTTCAACAATTTTCAACAAATCGCAGCTCTCACTTCTTAGTAGAGGGAGTGCAAGGTGGAGCAGCACCTAGGGATCTACTACAATGAATCCCAAGGTGAGGCTCTAACTTACAATTAGCACAATTACTAGGATATGTAATATAATCCCGTCCTTGATTATAGAATGAGATTTTAAGCAGGAAGACAATATTTAATATCATCAACATTGCCAGTCGTCACCAACCTCCTTGAATAAACTTTCAGCGGCGACAACAGGAACCCGATCGATCATTTTTTCTTGGTCTCCTCCAGTTTTCGGATATTCCTAAACAACGAAAGTAGCAGGAGAGATTGTAGATGAAAAGTAGATGAAATAATTACTGCTTGAGATTAAATTTTTTTGCTCTGAAATGCGCCATTTGCTACGTAGCGACGCCATTTGTCACTACTCTAGTTCGAAACAATTAGAAAATGCAGAGTTTCCCTGATATGCATTTTGACAGTATTCTTTTGACTACTTCGAAAAGCAAGCCGAGGATGATAGCCCTCAGTGTTTGAGCTAAACCTTCAGGGTGCGGATACTTCCCTCCTTATTTCCAAAGCAGGCGGCAGTGATCTCCTCCCGGCTACCGCATCATTCCTCTGAGAATTCAAACTTCTTTACTCAAACCATAATAGTGCGCGACTGCGCGGTCGGATGCGGCGAGCGCGACGCGATGTTCGGGGAGAAGTTCTCCTACCCAAACCATCATATTCCATATAAATGAAAGTAGGAGCAACCAGGAAAAAAAGACGCACGTTTTTCTTCGAATTCGGCCTTTCCACAGTAGTTGATAATATGTCTCTGTCCAGCTGCACGTCTTAAATATAAATTAACAAGCTTTGTAAGGAACAAAAATGGATGCGATTCAAACATAGTTTAATTCGAATAAAACGCTTTCATATGAGAATTTTTGCCCATCGTGAATTTTATATAGAAGTATGTGGCGTGGTCGTTTCCAGCAGAAAGGGAATATTCAAAAACTGCGTTTGGCATGTCTAGTAAGGACTACTTGTTGGTAGTCGCTAGTAGCCGTAACTGAGCCCTAGTTAAAGGAACAGTTCACGATAAAAATGGTTTCTGAGATTCTTTCACAGGATTCCTGCGTATATCATATCTGGCACTATTAGGTCGGAAAACGGCTTAGCTAGGGAGTTATAAAGGCTCAAAGATTGGTCCGTGTGTCCTCGGACGAGTTTCACCGTCATCGTCATTACAGAGGCTGCACCGATCTCAAGGGAACCCATGTAAGAAGTTGCAACAAGGGTCATGACCCATAGCGACGGTGAAGGACAGTTCTGCACAGTTTCGGCCTGATGTAGTCAGCTCTTTGCGCAATAACAACGACTGAAATCTCGTCTGAATACCCCTTCCATGTTGTTTCCGTCATGGCAATCTCGTCCATTCTCTGTTCTCCCACATCTGGAGAGCCATTCGACGAATTCTTTCGCTTTATTCACTACCGATGAACTGTTCCCAATCTATACTTATGCTTTTCAAATATAAATGTGTACCTCAAAATTATTGTGAACTGTGCCCTTAAGTAGAATAGATTTCTTTCTGAAGAACTTGCTCACAAGAGCCGCCAAATGTTCTGAGTTCGTTTCGTTTAGTAAGACTACAGGTCTTCCCTACCCAAGACGAATTTCTCGACACTTTCTATGGATAGTTCCCATGTAAAATAATATATTTACTATATATTAGAATTACTATCAATTGTGATATCAAATGGTCAAAATTGAATGAAGCAGTGGAATACTCACTTTCCGGTGTCATTCCGAGTGATATGCATTTTTGGTAGCGGCAGAACCTGCAAAGGAGCTTCTCCTTATCGGTCAATAGACAGTTACCATTCGCTTTCCTGCACTGGTACTTTCGACCTTGAACGACGGACCTCCTTAAGCCAAACATAATTTTGCTTTACCAAAACTGGATCTCCTCTTCTAACAGCAGGTTCTACCTGAAAAATGCTGCACATGCTCGGCAAGAGTTAACTCCGAAATGATTGCCATGGGCTGATCTGTTGCACACCTCACACTGTTTTTTCTTCATTCAAATTGGGGGTATTGACTTTTGTCAATCTGAAACATTTGAAAGCATAATTGGGAAACACGACCAATAGGATGAAGAATAAAGACAGTAAAAACCAATGTAAATATAGAGTATGATAAAGAGATTGTCATCGTCAGTGAAGGAAATGGCATCTTTTCGCATGAATTCAGCGAATTGTAGTAAACGATTCTGGATTGACCAGCACACACTGAGATGGATTTTTTGTTACACACTTCGGCCTTATCAGCTGAAAGCAGGGCACTCATAAAAGCCTCCATCAGATTCATACGAATTTGAATATATCGAATTTGGATCCTATTCGATTAAACTCAGATCAACCAATCGAAATGGATATCCATTAAAGCATATGACATACTACTTTTTATTTTGCCTTCAAAGTAACGACCGGCAGAGTAGAAGGGCAGGAAGCTACATATGGTCCCTAAGTATGCCCTATGAGGCGCTGAGAGAATACAAGAAGAACGGTCTAGATAGGGCACAACATGTGCTCATAGATCGGCTTGGTCCCGTCCACACACAGAAGGGGACGTGTTTTCACGGCTTCGCGGAGGCTGCACTATTCACGCTGGAGCATATACGTTGAAAATTCTCACTGCAGCTCATCCTGCTGATAAATTCTGCTGATAATAAAGAATAAATTCGTTCTGTCGTGTTGTAGTACTTTGCACTATTTTGAGTTTCCATACTCTCAATGCTACGAGTAAAAAAATGAGTTGATTGTGTCGCTACCCTTGACGACAGTAGAAGGCAACCACATACTGGCTAACTAATGGCAAAGGAAATGGGTCCACAACCCGAAAAGAAGTTAAGGTGAGAGGTGTCCCGGTTCATAAGTGATTGAGGAATTCGTCTTTGAAGACGTTTTGTCGAAATAAATTTATACGTTTATCCGCCCGCCGGTTAGACTACGTAAAAAGGAGAAAATAAGAGGAGAATGGTACCTGAAGAGGAAGAAAGTGATGGCACTCTTTCAGGCTAAGATACACAATTCACTGAGGGGTAGACATTTCAACAATTCGGTGTGCCTACACGTGATAGGTGAAAAATCATCTTTAACAGGCAGCACGTCTTTTTCCTTAACATTTTATAATCGAATTCTGGAATGTGTCACACCGAAGGTGATTTACATTCTCACATTACTTGAAAAAGCTCTTTAGCTCTCTTTTGTGCCATCTGTTCGATGTCAACAGCGAATGTTTGCTACCACGCTGTTCCTTCAAAGGCATAACGAAAAAGGATGATCGCTTTTCAAGAAAAAACCGACGGAACTAGCTAATCTAACATATAGGAAAAGAAACAGAAGTGGGGAATAGAAGCAAAAATTGTTAGCGAAACAGTGACGAGATCGATCGCACACTGATTGAAAGAGGCGATGCAAGCTTATCTCTGAGTTCATGAGTCTAGTAAAAAAGCATTCTGTTAGTGACACGTTCCACGAGAACTCGTGACGATTGTTCCCTCTGGAAGATAGAAGCCCCATGACAACAGAAGTTTTGAGTCGTTTTGGAGCTGAGCGGGAAAAGCATCAGGGTTCCTTTCTAAGTGGCACAACTATGCCACTTTTGATATCCATCTAACGATATCCAAGGGTTGGGACGGAGTGTTGCTGTCCTGTTATCTGAGAGGTCCTTCAATAGAGACCATTCGCATTTACATTCTTATGATTCAGCGATTGATTCATAACTGATTCATCTGATTCCTATAATTTGCAGTTTGGCAGCCTTTGTCGCTGCATTTTTCTCCAGCGAAGAGGAGCAAGAGCTATCGACACCACTTGTACGTCTAATTAAGTGTGCTACAAAATTGAAAGTCGCATTCCAAGGCTCCCGACTATTTCCTCCAGTCCTTCTTACCGAAAGACCAATCAATGATTAAACTTTCAGTTATGAACGTCACAGTGAACATCTCGTCACAGCAGATTATTTCTCGCAGCCAAAGAAAGTTAGTGATTGGAAGCTTATTAAGAAACTACGTCAAAATAATGGAAATGAAATCCAAGATGAAGGATTGTCCCAACCAAATCCGTGACAGCGGTGACAGATACGAAAACTGTGTACATGCTGGTGTAACAATTCACAAATCATAGAGCATCGTTTTTTGTTCCCCTGGCAAATCTCATAAACTATGTCACAAATCAGAAACTGGTTGGAAGTATGGTCGTTCTACAGGGAGATCGTTTCACCAAGGGAGTGAGCTGAGCCTCCCATACTCATGTTTGAATAATATCCAGAGTAAGGTGCTGTTGGCTGCGGTATCCTCTTCCATAGATTGGATTCAAATAAAACTCTTATCAATCTAGTCTTTAGCTGTCGTGATGGACTCCTAACACAGCTCTATCATTTACTCGTAGCACAGGAACCGCTTCCAGTAAGGTCTTGTGGAAAATGGGTTCATCGTGAACTGGGTTGCATGACTCATCTGACCATTGGCTTCATAGTTCTGTTGCACTGGTCGTGAATGGATGTTGAACAAAATACAACCAGTCCAGTCAGGTATAGATTTTCGAACTCCCACGTGGGAATTCCGCTGACATCAGCTCTATTTCGACCTGATTGTGAATGGCCCGACAATCGTCATGGTTTACTTCAGGAGGTTGTTCTATTGAATGTTCATTAAAACAGTCCACCATAAGATCTCCTAACAAAGGCGTGGACCCTGTTCTCCGGCGTGGCCACAGAGCGGTGTCCTCAAACAATTAAGCTGTGTTATATCCAGGACAGAAGGGCTTACTAATTGTAAGCGTTGGTGAAGATGTGAGTCAAAGTTCGATACCATACCACTGTAAAGCTAGCCTTCCATACAAAGCCAACCTAGGAAGGTACCCAATGAGATACAAGCCAGATAGTCAAATAAAGCACTTGGACAGGTGTTGTTTGCTTCCATTGTAACGCTGTGAAATACTTCTTTATTAACTTTTCCTATTCAATACATACTAGCAAATGAGGAATCCTTTCTCAGACAAATCGTATTTGAAAACATCAAATATTCTAGCCAGTTCCATCAATTTTGTTCGTTGATGCTGAGCTTTCTGAAATGATTTGCTTTTTGATTATCACCCAATAAACCAAAATTTTCTCCCCCAGTGAATTTGCTCGCCGTTTGCAGTTAGCAATACTTACCTCCACGGATGATATTATTTCCATTATTTTTGTTAACCTTGCAGCATAGTTGGNCAATTTTGTTCGTTGATGCTGAGCTTTCTGAAATGATTTGCTTTTTGATTATCACCCAATAAACCAAATTTTTCTCCCCCAGTGAATTTGCTCGCCGAAGTTAGCAATACTTACCTCCACGGATGATATTATTTCCATTATTTTTGTTAACCTTGCAGCATAGTTGGGCATCTTCAGGTCATAAGTGTAATGCTCATGTAGCTCATCCGAAATTTGGTCTATTACTTTTTCAGCTCGCTCACGAGTTGAGTCCTGGATGTTTTTACCTAAATTTTGGAATTTTGTGGTTCCATATAGAGCCATAAGTAAATTCTGAGTATCTCGTAGCAACGGCTCTGTCTCGGGTATGGACTGAGCACCCACAAGTGGCGCTCATTCTCCGCATCGCTCATCAAATCGGTGTTATCGGTCATTTTAGTGATGAGAGAAGGTAAGAGGGCTTGACCTCAACTTATATTTCAAGTTAGTAAACTCCCTTGCAAAATATTCCCCATTTGTGCTCCCTTCTCAGGTGGTGGGGGAAGATCCGGGAAGGGAAATCCACAGGCCGTCCACTATAAGCCTGGCAAACACCACAAAGACGCTGAAAGCTGGACAGCAAGAAGAATGTGGTCTGTGGGCCCTACTGTTTCTTTGAAAATGATTTTGCTATTTTTTCGTATCGTACGTATAGCTACAGCTCCCTATAGCGCTTACCTTCGCGATCAGCTGGTGCTTACCTTCAACATGCCATACCAGTGCACAAAGTATGTAGGATAATTCGTATTTGTCCAGGTTCATTTCTAACAGCGGCCGCCTCACATCGTCAGTTAGCCGATAACCGAAGTTGTCGAACATACTGAATAATTTATGATCCTTGAAAGTATAAAAATAGAATGATGAAATGAAATCTGACGGAGGTGGAGTAGTGCAAGTGGCGCACTATCACATACGCTTGGTCACGAGTCCGAATCCCGGATCGATCTCTGCCTAGCTTAATCAAGCCTTCCATCCCTCCGAGGTCGGTTAATTGATACCAGACGTGTCTGAGAGGATGAAAGCACTGACTTGTACATCGGCTGGTTACCGCAATTCATTATATAGGCCACATACCTATTCATTACGCCACTACGATGCTAAATGGAAGTCGAATGAGGGGCGCATCCCTCAGATGGAACTGATAGACGCTCGAAGACCTCATCCTTTATCCTTTAACTTTACTTTTGTAAAGTTTTATATTATATTTTTAACAGTGCACGATTTGAGATGGGAGCTTCTGGTGAATCGTTCCAGATCGAAGTGATACAAACCTCTTAATACTTTCCGAATCGTAATCACTAAGCGGTCCCATCTCGAGTTGTACCGTATCCATGTTGATAGCGCCATTATCAATCGTTACAATCACCTGAACATCAAATTCATTTACAAGGCAGCCACAGGAGAAAGGATTTGAATGCTGAATAACTTTAATGCATCCTCCAATCATTGAATTGGATATACATATAAATGAGGGGGTCGTAATCTCCATAAGTCATTAGCTCTAGAAAAATTCGCAATAGCGATATTATTGAGAGGCATAAGGCTCACATGATAGCTCGGTTTCCATTGTAAAGTAAGGATAGAGGCAACTACGGCAGTGCGAAGTGGCCCCTAAGTTAGCCCTAGAGAGTTTGGAGCTTCGGTACATGTCTAGAAGGGAGATGGTAGACTTAAACTCAAGGAAATTAACGTACTTAAATATTTTCATTTGTTCTGAAACTCTTAATGCAAATTTTCAATAGAAGGCATAGGGTTGTAGACCTTACTCGTTCCTTCACAGCTTGCTCCCCGAAAACTTGCACTGTCATTTGTAGTCGCTCGAACCTTTGCCAAAGAGTCCAAGAGGTTTTGAACAATGTCTCCTAAATCAGTGCACATTAATCCTCTCCTGAGGGACCTTCCTCTATGAATACCTTGTCTTCTAGAGGGAGCTCTGCGAAATCTTGACAATTCATCATCCATTTTGCTATTTCGTACAGATGCCTTTCCCATGTGGGTAGTCCTTGGAAGAAGTCCACTTTTTCTTGAAACTGTAGTAACTTTGCTTGAAATGGATAGCAATCGAAGATAATTGAGGAGTACTGTAACTCAACTCACCACAATGCTGGCTGTTTTACTTGAACGGAAGTCTTCTAAGGCGAAGTACATTCGAAGAAGAAGGCGTTTTTCATGACTGGAGCGATATTGCTGGAATTTAGAAGCACGATGTGTTTTATAGGATTATTTATTACATTACAGTATATACCTCGGAAAAAATTTTTCTGAGGATCGTCATGACACCTGAGAGATCGAGGGTGAGTCGATCTTTAGTCAAAGCTGACTCTTTTGTGCATGGCGCAACCTAAAACGAAAATCGGCTTGAATGGAATCATTCTCATAAAATTGATCCACTCCTCGAAAGTTTTTCTGGATAAATCAAATAAATAATATTTTATGGGTATCCCTAGCAGTGAGAAGCGAATCAATTTCCACGCACCTACAGCTGCAATGGTTCCACTCTAAGTTCACCTAGTGAGAAAACCCAACCCACGGAGAAAACCCAATACGAAACCCGGTCCCCACAGCATCATAGGTACAACATTCTGGCCGGAGAACGTTGGAGCGCATGGTTTGCATTTGTTCGTGTTATTTTCTCTTTGGCTGACTGTCGTGGACCAACCGCGAATCATATGCCCCACTGACAAATGCGACATCCATCAAGTATCGCGGACCGACAAACCGTATGCGGCGACTGCGGCGTGACCTAGTTTCGACGGACGCGCGTAACGAAGCGCACTCCATTCTGACCCACATCCATCCTATTCTCCAGTAACCTGGTGGACAGCTACAATCACTAGTACAGCCTTTCTTAAAATTGTCATTCAAGGCAACAGAATCTTGGAATTTCCTAATTTATAAACTGCCTACTTCTTTGTTGGAGTGAACCTCATCGCTAGCCGAAATACGATCCGATAGTAAATCATCCTGTTCTCTCTTCTTCCCTGGTACCTTAATGAATAACAAAAGCATTCATGGTTAGAAGGACAACCTTTTTAAAAAATTCGTACGAGAAGGGAAAATACGAACATACGAACATTTCTCTTTTCACTAGCTCTTTCCACTGTTGATAATACATCTCTATTCAGTTGTACATCTGGAATGAACAATTTCAGGACCGTGTGAGCAGTTTACTTTTGACAAGTATGAACACTACATAAGGCAAATTTTACAGCATTAGACCAAAGAACCATCATTTAATTGTTTGTTTTCATTGACGAGGACAATTTCTGTCGTGGGGCTTCAGAAGCTGATACATCAATGTTTTATAGCCTTTATAAACTTGATTTTTCGATTTTTCAAAGAAGATTCCGAAGATTATCCTCATAGCATGGAACCATAAGTTGATATTGTTAAGATTTCTTGGGTAGATAATATTAGGTCATACGTATGAGAGTGGGCCGTGCAACGTCGTGGGATAAAAGCCTGGGGAGGAAGAGTTGGGCTAGTGAGGGGTCGCCTTCGGTTCTTATTTATCAAAGTGAACCAGCACCAGATTAATAAGGCTTTTTGTAGAGACGCGGTGTATGAATATAAGAGCATCGAAAATGGCCAAGTTAAGGGTTGGACGAGAATGTGACGATAAAGGTTTCATGGAAGGAGTATTTGGACGAGCTGTCCAACTATGTATGCCATTGTGCACAGCTGGCTATAGTAGACTGCCTGCGTCTAATACGTGCATCCCGGTGCGAATGGTGCAACCTCTACAATTTCTACAATGCTGTGAGATCTCGTCCATCTGTGGGAGTGGACGTCGGCCGAGCCGATTTTGGCTTTGGTTTTGGTTCCTGTTTGGTTTATCAACTCTATGTTTAAGTTCATTCTTTTTTTTCAAAGTTGTTCTACAGCGTACAACTAAAGAGTTATAATGTCAATACAGAATGTCAAAGTCAATCAAATAGCCGCTGGAAAAGCTCACTTTCAGGCGTCATCCCGAGTGCGATACACTTCTGGTATCGGCAAAATCTACAGATGAAATTCTCTTTTTCAGTCAAAAAGCAAGTTCCATTAGCTTTCCTACATTGGTATTTTCGACATTGTACGACGGATCTCCTGAAATAGAATAAATTAATAATTATCAAAGAAGCGTCCCCCTTGATAGGAGCACCCACCTAAAAAATGCTGCACACGCCCGACATGTATTGACTCCAAAGTGGTTGCCATGGGCGGGCTTGTTGCATACTTCACACTGCCTACTCATTTCTAATGTGGTGTTACTACCACTTTTACCTAAATAATACCAGTGTTTTGTATGATTGAGGAAGCGATTATCATGGTTTCTGTGAATATCGCAATCAGAAAGCTACACGCCATGAAGAAGGAATAAGAATTATGTCAGAATCGTCACTCGCTTAACTTTGGAGCGATATGCACTTCTAAACGGGCACCGTAAGGATCCACCAGATTCCAAGCTTCGAAATTTCTGCCTGAACCGCCACTTAACAGAAACTCTGGCATCACAGCGAGCCAACGGCTTGACGGAAAGGTCGATTCAATCAGGAGACAATCATAGCGCTCTCATACAACTTATGGATATCTAGAGGAGCCTTCTAGCAGAATGAAGATATCCTTTTGGGAAGTGCCACTGTCCCTCTGCTAGGGTGATTGTCGTCGCATGACCATGGTTTTCATATGAATGTCTCTCTAAAATGTCTGGAATAAACAGCAACCTGAAAATCAGACCACATGTCTTTTCCCGAATCATCAGTCCTAATTTTGCATGAGGGATACAGTGTGTTTCAAAAGTATGTGCACACCCAACTTTTTATTTTTTT